AGAGGGCCGATCGCCATCGGCGACGCAGCACAGGGCAGGTTCGGCAAGGCGTGCCACGATTGCGTCTGCTGCAGTCCGCTGGCTGGATGGCACTGCGTGCCGACCGACATTGTTACGGCGAAACTTGCTTGTTTGAAGCCAGAGATCATTACGACCTACAGCGCTACAGACAAGGGTGTACAATTACATCGTTGCGCACAAGATACCACCCGTATTTCGGTTTAGCGCTGACGCACTACATCATTTGATCGGCCCGGCCGCCTCCTCCACATCCTTCTCTTCCTCCTTGTGCCTCAGGATGATTAGGATGATAAGGTGGCCTCCCCCTCCTCTTCCCCTGTCTGGATAAGGTCCCCCAGTGACGTCCAGGGGCCACACTCACCCGTCGGCTGGGCCCCGCGCGCGGGGGCTAGCGCGCGCGTGGGTGGACTGGGTTTGGCAGGAGCTGTTGCTGCTGTTGCTGCTGCTGCTGCTGTTGCGAGAGAGAGAGAGAGAGAAAGAGAAAGAGAGAGTGAGAGGAGGCAAGAGGGAAGGGCCTGTGGTGAGGTTTCCCTCCCTGGCCCTCCGAGGGTCTCCTTTGCATTGTCGTCGCAATTTTCGCTCAGTCCATACCTTCTATCCGTGCACATGTGCAGCCATGTTTCTGTCGATGGCTGGGGCGCGCTTGGGATTCAGGGCGTCTTGTATGTGTGTATGGATGTATGTATATATACACGTGTGCACATCACACATGCGCATGTGTATTTATCATGTATTTGTTATGCCCGCGCATAGTTGTTCAATCCATCGATCAACCATACGCTCTTTTCATAATTGCACCCACGCGCGCGCTTGAGTTCAGTCACCAGCCAATTCGCACCCGTCATTTCCGTCAAAGACCGGAATGCGGGCCACAACCGTGCGTTCCCGCGCGCGCATTCCGAAGTCATTGCGAAACTTTTGGTTTTCGCTAGTGAAGTTCAAGATGAAATCCTTGAAACCATATAAATCAAAATCTCAAGCACACATGTGTGTGTAGATCCCGGTTCTTACAGTTTTCACCCAGACCCTCTTTAAACCGGAGCTCCCAGATCCGTAGCCTCTCCCCAGATCAGTGGCGTCCGGGGCCCCGTGGACGCCCGTGCAGGAGGCCCACCAAATTTTCTGGAGTTCCTGGAAGCCCATGCTGGGCCTATGCAACGGGCCCCAATCGGTCAGGAAGGCGGCCGAACGGACCCCAAAGTGCCTCAAGAGACCCCAGACACCCACCAGACGGCCGAAGACGACCCAAAGAAGACCCCCAAGAGGCTTTCGAAGCGCAGGAAAATATTGATATCCATGGTTCTTATTTGATTTGGGATATATTATGTTCTTCGGTCTTCTGGGCGTCCGAGACTGCCCAGAAAACCAGAAAATTACAGAATTTGCCCGAAAGGTAAGAAAGAGTTGTCGTTAAACTGTCTGTTTTACCTTCCTGTCCTTCTGCCTGCAGGCCAAACTTCAAGGGATAATGTGCATGCAGCGAAGCGCCACTGCAGTCTGGTACATATGTATATATGCATCTATATACAGAGAGGGATAAGTTTGTATGTTTTGGTGCGCACACATATACATACAAATATACATTCATACATACATACATACATACATACATGCATGCATGCATGCATGTATGCATACATATATACATACATGTACACAGCTGTATATACACATATGGCATGCCAGCACGGTTTAGACCGGCACGGTTGATTAACGTGGTAGACCAACACGGCAGACCAGCACGGCAGACCAGCACGGCAGATATTTTTCCCTACCTAGGCTCTGCCTAGAAGGGTTCTTACTCTCTTGGCTTAAAGGGCCGGGCAGTGGGAACCGGCCCGGGCGGTTCCCCCAGTATCCGGCCCGCGGTTCCCCCAGTTACTTCCCCTTAGCTTACCTAGGCTCTGCCTAGAGGGTTAGCTTAGCTTAGCTTAGCATAGCGCAGCGCTGCATTAGCATAGCATAGCATAGCATAACATGGCCAAGCATAGCATAGCATAGCATAGCGCAGCATAGCATAGCATAGCATAGCATAGCGCAGCTTAGCACAGTATAGCATAGCATAGCTTAGCATAGCACAGCGCAGCATGACATAGCATAGCTTAGCATAGCATAGCATAGCATAGCATAGCGCAGCATAGCATAGCATAGCATAGCATAGCACAACATAGCGCAGCACAGCATGGCATTGCATAGCATAGCATAGCAACTAATGCTGCTTTCCTAGGGGCTCCAACTTCTAGGTAGGGTCGCACTGGGGTAATTATCTGTTCAGCGCGAGCGCGCATTTGCATTTCTTCAACATTCTCATTGGCACCATCATGATAACCGTCCCCAGCGTCACCATTACCTCTGCTATCATCATCACATCACTGTTCTCGCAATCACCATCCCAATCATCACCGTCATCGTCACCACTTCCATCCCGCCGTCGTCGTTGTTTCCGTCATCATCGTCGTCATCGCCACCGCCGTCGTCGTCGCCGCCGTGGTCGCCGTCATCATCATCATGACCCGTTGCGCTCGGGCCATGGAACGGCGTGAAGACTCCGCGCGTCAGTGCGCCTGCTGAGAGCAAGTTCTGGTGGGTAGTAGTAGATGCACTCGCGGCCTCTGGAGTTTTGCCCTTGCGGGA